CTGGTACAGAAAAACAGTGCTGAATTAACAAAAATGGCTAAATCATGTCATCTGGACCCTCCAGATGACCTGATTTAGCCATTTTTGTTGTCTACCTGGATGTTTGAGCTTACAAACCCAGTGCTGAATTAATTTATTTTGTTAAACACAGACATGAATGTACTGAATTACAAATTTATTGAAAGCTCTGCACCATAACGGCACACTTAAACACACCAAGAGCTTCACAAGCTTGATCAAACCTGTAAAAACAAGACAACTTTAATTTGTTCAGTCAGTACTCTAGCGCGTGACGTCACTCAGAGCACAAAGCATAGAGTTAGAGTGAATAGATCTGCCCAGTCATGGATTGGTCACATTGTCACCGATACCTGATCCAGAAGTTTTGTTTTTTAAATATATATTGTACCGATACCGATATTTGTATCGGATCGGTGCATCTCTAATAATGATCCTCAGGAGGGAGGGGAGTACAGAGTTTGAAGGTTTAAACAGCAGTGAGCAGCTCTAAGTATGCAAGTTGAACAAACATGCAAATCACTCTTTCTGATGATGGTCAGTAATGACCCTCAGGAGGGAGGGGAGTGTGCAGTGAAGCAGCTCCAATTATACAAGTTGAACAAACATGCAAATCACTCTTTCTCTTGATGGTCAGTAATGACCCTAATGACCCTCAGGAGGGAGGGGAGTGTGCAGCGTTTGAAGCTTTAAACAGCAGTAAAGCAGCTCCAATTATACAATTTGAGCTAACATGCAAATCACTCTCTTTCTTGATGGTCATTAACGACCCTAATGACCCTCAAGAGGGAGGGGAGTGTGCAGCGTTTGAAGCTTTAAACAGCATTGAGTGGCTCTAAGTATGCAAGTTGAACTAACATGCAATCCACTATCTTGATGGTCAGTAACGACCCTAATGACCCTCAAGAGGGAGGGGAGTGCAGAGTTTGAAGGTTTAAACAGCAGTGAAGCGGCTCCAATTATGCACGTTGAACAAACATGCAAATCACTCTCCCTCTTCCTTCTCAGTAAAGATCCTAATGACCCTCTAGAGGGAAAGGAAAGCGGAAGTCTAAGCTTTAAACTGCAGTGAGCTTCTCCATTTATGTGAGCTGAACTCGCATGTAAATCACGGACCCTACCCTCGGAAGGATGTTGGGGGTGCTTGTTCACCCTTTGGAGGGAGAGAAGAAGTAATTTTTATGTTTAGCGTGTGAAGCTGCTCACTCTAGTCGTAAAGCTTTGAATTCCACACTTTTCTGTTGAAGCAAAACATCTAAAAACAAAAATGTAAGGAAGTCGATAACGTCCTGTGTTCCCTCTTCTGTCCACCAGGGGCAATAAACCTGAACGAGTGCCCCCGCCAGCCCTACATCCCCATCTACCTGATCGTGGCGGGGGTCTTTGGGTTGGCTCTTGCCATTCTTGCTTGTCTACCCTGTGCCCAGACGCCCAAAGATGGCGATCCCAACGTGCTGATCCCGATCTGCACCACCTGGAACGCGCTGTCGTCTCTGTTCATGTTCTGCTGGTTCATCACAGGTGAGCAAATCCTGACTGAAGCAAACCGAGGTCAAACTGGCCAAAGCCACGTCTGGCAACCCGTGTTTGTAACGCTTTGTCCTCAACAAACACCTGCTGTAAACCACTGAGATCAAACCGTAACCCATCTGTGAGAAGCTGATGGAAATCATTTTTAAGCCGTCTTGAAAAGCATAAAATGATTACATTTGCTGGATGACACGGCAAGAAAATAAAGTTAGTTTCCAGACTTCATTTCTATTTTCAAACAGGTAAAATTCTGAATTATTTTCAAATAAAATTCCGTAATTTTCCATAAAAGACTTGTCTCAGTCCAGTTACAACATAAAGCATTCATTGTAAGCTCTCTGAATAATAAGATTGTTAAAAACACAGTTTACAAATGATTTATATAAGTATACATTCAATGATCCAAAACTTTATGTAACTTCTTTACATGTTAATCCCAACAACTGCGACATTTTAATCTGAATGGGACCGTTTTACAGATTAAACACGATTCAGTGTGGTTTTATGGACACTAATGCAGATATTTAGCATATTTTAACCTGGTGAACCCAGTGGCCCATCTTTACTTCTTATTCCCAGTCCTACACACAGTACCTTTGTGGGCTTCTGGGCTCCCCCAGCAGTAATTTCCCAGTCCATGTCCAGTAAAATATTCCCTTTTTTTTTTTTTTTTTTTTACCTGGAGATGTTTGTGCTGTTGTTTTCTAAGTTGTTGATACTCAACAACTTAATATATACTGTAAAACCATTATGGTGATATCGTATTTTGAAGGAATGCGTATTGCCCACCACCTTTCAGCCCAGAGTTTTAGACCATCTTGAGTTGAGAAATGATGAGTTGCTGCATTTTTGATCAAACCTTAACAAAAATGTACATGCAGTCTCATGCAGTAGTGCCATAGCTCACCTGATACGTCCAGAGGTTTATGAGAAATTTTGCTAACAGACAAACATGGTTGACTTCCAAAGGTTATTGCCAAGATCTTAAGCAAAAATGGTTTGCAATTTGTTGCCCTCAACTTATCTGTTCAGGACAATGTTCAGCTACTGCCACACCAAACTTTAGTTCAATCTCTGTGAAAGTGGTTGAGCTATAGCAGTTTTTGTGTTTTTTAATATCAGTTAGCTGTGGAGGCCATCTTAAATTCTATTGATTCCAAAAGATAATCTTTTGTAGCTGTGCATTCAATGATTGATTCTTAGAGGTTTCAATAAAATCCATTATGTAGTTCATGAGATATTTTGCTAACAGACAAAAATGGTCGACTCCAAAAGTTAATGCCCAGATTTTAAGCAAAAATGTTTGAAATGTGTTGCCCTCAAAGTTTCTTTTCGGGCCAATGTTCAGTTACTACCACACCAAAATTTAGTTCAATATCTTGAAATTGGTTAAATTATAGCAGTTTTTATGTTTTTTAATATCAGTTAGCTGTGGAGGCCATCTTAAATTCTATTGACTCCAAAAGATAATAATTTGTAGTTGTGCATTCATTGATTGTTTCCTGGTGGTTTCAATAAAATCCATCCAGAAGTTCATGAGATATTTTTGCTAACAGACAAACCTACACTCTAAAGCTGTAGATTGTAGTTACACACACGAGCCACTAGATGTCCACATTTTCTGATTTTTATGGAGGCTGCCCACAAACCCTTTTCACGTTCTTGGAAAACAATATGCAGGACCTGTAAGTTCTAGATAACGACATACATCGTTATTTTCTTTTTGTCTTGGTTCTAGGTAACGTGTGGATCTACTCTATTTATCAGCCAAACTACATCAAAAACGCAACCGACTTAGAGTCCTACTGCAACAAGACCCTCTACCTGTACGCCTTCTGGACCACGACGCTGGCCTACATCCTGTTGGGTCTGTTTGTGATCATCGTCTGCTGCGTCTTCTTCTGCATGTTCCTCTGCGGGCGCGCCGACCCCGACGATGACGTGTAGAGACGCTTCCCGAAGCAAGGCCGCTTCCCGTGCCGCCGCCGCTGTTGGTGTTCCAGTCGTACCGAGGTTTAAAACGCGTGGCTGTGGCTCTCTGAGGAAATCAAGAAAAGAAATAAAAAATGATGGGGGCGGGTCTACACCAACGTTCACCCCAGCTCCTGGAGAGTTCTGCTCGACTTCCAGAATTTGTAGAGTTTAACACTGGTTCTAAAAAAAAAAAAAGGTTTGAAGTGATAGTTCGGATCCTTTGGAGGGGCTCTGTGGAAATGTTATAAACAATTAACATCTTACCTGTTGTAGATGAGCAATGTGGGCGACCTTGGTTAGGAGAAATGAGCTCATGTGGATGCTTTGGCCATTGTTATCGTGTTTATAGTCTCAGAACACAAAGAGGAGAAAAGTGCAGAAGTCTTTCTTCAGGTTCGGGCTTGTCTGCCCGCTCCTGCAGAGGGCTAAGAAAACAAAAGTTTCTATAACGGGGCTATTTATCTGGTGGCCCAGGGGCCAAATCAGGCCCACGGGTGAGCTCACTTCGGCCCACCATCGGGTTGATTTTTGAATAAAACTCCATTTTAAACCGTAAAACAAACTAACTTAAAGACACTGGATGTTCGGCCCTTGAGCTCTTGCTTTCAGTAACTGTGGCCCCCTGAGCAATTTAGTTGAAGAGCCCTGCTCTATAATGTTCATATTCCTTTTAATCCGACAATAATAAGTGGTGTTTAAATTTCTCTCGCTTATTTCTTTTTGTCTGCAAGAAAACGAGACATTTTGGTTCAAAGATCACATTTCTAGGCGTCAAACATGGCGTTGTTGACAGTAATGTAAAAATAAAAATAAAGACGTGCCTTTAATAAAACCTACGTGAGTAAATAGGCTTCTATTTGTAAAAATAAATTAAAAAAAGTCACGAATAAATCGTTGATCACAAACTGATCTTATGCACAGTGAAACTATATCCTTTGTTGAAATATAAATATATATTTTTTGTCCTAACACTAAAACACTATCCAATAAAGTATAGTTTTTAATGAATACTTTATAAATGAGGATGCATCAAGTATGTGTTCAAGGGTCAAGTACATTTTGTGGCTAAATAAGCTTCTGGTAAAAAGGGCTCTAACGAATTAGCTCTGCGCTAGGCTAACGGCTAGCTAAACGAGTGCCATATTGTTTTTCAGGCTTTGAAACAACTGTTTCCGTCAGAGTTTTGGATTGATTCGACGTGCTGATCAGGCGAACTGTCAGCTAGCCTTTGCTCCGCGCACGTACGTTCACGCCGTAACGCGAACGTTGTTCGGCTGAGGAAACGGCAACAAACTATATAAACTAATGGTGTTGCGCACAAGTGTAGAGGTTAATAGCTGATGATGGAGTGTTCGATGACACCGGTGTGACATTACAGAGTTGTTTTGTAATTCTGAGAGTTGACACATGCGGACCCTCGTTTAGCTAACGGTTAGCCTAGCCTGGTTGAAGACTTCTGCTCTTTTCTCCAAACTCGAAGACTAAAGTCATGGCTGATAACTCCTGCGAGTCCCAATGAATTTTTTTACAGACCGAGTGCAAGTACTTGAGTTTGAATACTTGCCTATACTGAGAATTAATGGTTAATGAGCTAGTACTTATACGGGACACAGCAAACAGTCTGCTGGCTTTACATGCTAATCCTGAAATGTCTCCAAACTAAGGACGTGTTTTTGTTCTCAGTTACTTTGTGCAATGAAATGATGTCACCAAGGGAAAAAAGTGGTATCACACATAGTATCGAGGTTTTTTTTTTTTAATAAGTACAAATACAAGTATTTGAGACTAGTATCTGGAGTTATTTGACAGAGCATCACTTTAAAAATAACCAGACTATCCCTTTAATTCTAACCAGACTCATGAGCTAACAGCTAGTTCCGAGATGAAGATTATAATACGTTTTATTCAGATGAGATTTCTGACACTCAAACGACACCGAACAAGCAACTCATACCAGTATACTTGTACTATAATATTGCTATAAAACTATACTAATTGTAACTATATAGTACTTGCAAATATTCATTTTATGTAAATAACTAATAAATGACAGCAACGCAAAAGAATAAAGTAGTTTTAAGACACTGTAACCACCTGGGTTCTAGCCTAACCTTGACTAGCTGTTAGCTCGTCAATCCGGACTGAATTACAGGAATATTTCTCCAAACTAGTCATCCAAAGTGCTATCTACAACAGGTAAGATGTTTATAACTTTTCCACTGAACATCCACTTAAAGATATCTGGACTATCCCTTTACATTGTTTCTCATGACTGAGAGTTGTCTACCTCTGAAGAAACTGAAAAGATCATTTTCTTTAGTTTTACTCCTTGTTCCGGTATAAACGCTGTAGAAATAAACGTGTTTTATACGTCAAACTTTGATTATAGATTCACACAGAGCGCAAGAGACAAAGAATTGTTTTGAATTTCAATACCTGCTCATTTACATAAAAACATATTTTGGGATTTATAAAACAAAAACCTGTTCAGAATAAAACACTGCTGTAAAAATCATATGAAGCTTTTTTACTTCTAAAACCTTTTTTGTATGAAATCTCGCTTTATTTTTCTGAATGTGCACAAATGTTCAAATGTGGGTAGTTTACGACCCAATTATATTTTATATAAAAGAGTTCAAGAGAAATAAACAGCAGTGAAAGAAGAAAACAACCGTTTATTGATTTAGAGATTTTAAGACGTTCTGCTGTTCGTCACCTGATCTGTTACTAACAATGCTGCCTTCAAAGTTGTTCAGTTAATAAATACTTTAAAAGAAAAGCTGGATTTTTTTTTACATTAGTTTAAGATTTGTTGTTTTATGTCAAATGCTTTTAGTGTTTGGCGAAATGAAAGAAACCAGTCTGACCATGTTCAAGGTTTAAAAAGTCCAATACCAAAAGGTTTGAAAAATGATTTCTATGTATTATCACCTGACTAGCATTGGGTTGGGGGTGAGAAACCACGTATTCGCATCGTGACATCAGATTGTCGCAACGTGGCATCAGATTGTAGTGAGCCAAGATCACAAAAGGAGGCCAATAATAATAATAAGGTTAACAACGAAATGGCAATAATAACTGTTGAATGAGAACGTTTAAAGTCAGATCAGGAGTTGGAGTTATGGGGATGACTCAGCTACTACCACATTAAATTTTACCTCAATATCAAGAATTATATATTTTGTATTTGCTGAGGTTGAGTAGCTGCAGTGGCCATCTTGAATTGAGTGGACTCCAAAAGTTGATAATTTGTTAATGTATATCCAATGAGCTTTTGAGCCATGACATCTTATACCATAAGCTCTCGGACGTTGGTTTCTCAGATCACACCATCGGTTGGTTTTCTAATTATCGCTCAAATCGGAGGCAACATGTTCAACGCAACGGTACTTCTTCCAGTTATTTAAATGTCAACAACGGTGTACCACAAGGCTCAGTCTTAGGACCCACCCTCTTCATAATCTACATAAGTATGTCAGACCATTCCTGATGCATCCTTACAATTCTATGCTGATGACACAGTTGTTTATTGTCAAGCTAAAACAGTTGCTAAGGTTTTCCAGCTTTTACAGTCTGCATTTGACATCATCCAGTCAGATTTGTTCTGTCACAGACTTGTGCTAAATGCTGATAAAAACCAAAGGGATGTTGTTTCCAAACAGGAAGTCTGTACCAGCAGTTCTTCCTCCTAGCTTATCTAAAAATGGTGTTCCTACTGAGTTTGTTGATTCTTACAAATACTTGGGAATCTTGTTCGATGCACGTCTCTCTTTTAAGCCTTGTCGAAAACTTGGTAAAGAAAAGACATTGAAAGTTAAATTGAGTTTCTTTTTCAGAAATAAATCTTGTTTAACTCTGAACGCTAGGAAACTCCTTGTAACTGCTACTTTCCTTCCCTCCATTGACTATGATGACATTATTTACATGAATGCTCCTGCAAGCACCTTTCAGATGTTGGATGCTGTCTTTCACGGCATGCAAAGATTCATAACTGGCTCTACTGTACCCATCACTGCACCCTGTACTCCTTGGTCAACCGGTCATCATTAACTTCACGCAGGCTCTTTCACTGGTACATTTTCATTTTTAAATCCCTTCTTGGTCTGCTAAATAGAAGCTGAATGAAAAAAAATCTGAAAGTTTCACTAAAATCCATTCAGTGCTTCATGAGGTATTTTGCTAACAAACAAAGAGGTTTTGCTTTTTTTCATTCAACCTTTATTTATACAGGTTAGTCTCATTGACCACTGCAGGTAATAATGTCATGTTAGGCAAAAATCAACTGCATTTGAGCACAAGAACCCCAAACTAAGTGTCCAGGTGCTTACCTTTATCTCCATTTTTTTAGTGAGTAAAAACTGCAAAAACTATATCTTCCTAAGCTGTTTATTATGCGTTTATTAACACAGTAGTATTATTTAATTAACATAAATTACATACAAAATATAAAATGAAATGCTATTATTTAAAACGTTAACAGCTTTTCACAATAGTATTATGTTAAAATCGTGCAGGATATGACTATAAACATTTCCACTTCTTGTCAGGTGAAATCTCATTCAGAGCTGGCGCTCTGATTGGTGGATGAGGCCGTGATGTCAGCACGGTTTGCGAGACAGAGCGTCCAGTGCTTTGGCGTGTACGGGTTTGTAGAGCAGCGTGAAGCTTGAGGGACTCAGGTGGCCGTTGCCCTGAGCATCAACTTTTCCCATCAGCACGTAGTTCTGACCTGGACAAGAGACGAATTTACAAAAACGTCAGAATACCTCAAATATATAAGTAAACCGCTAATTGGAGCAGGGTCAGTTCCAAAGTCCAGTGCCATTGAACGTGATGCTAATGCTAGTTTATCAACTTTAACATGGCTGTCCCTTTTGAATTAGACCTGTGTTGTAGACTGTGGTTTTTACACATAAGACTGTGTGCCCACAGTTCGTCACCAGTAATCGTCAATGTGAAACCTGTGTGTGCAACGATGGAAAAGTAATGTCCTGGCAGGGTTTTCTCCTCCACATCAAAGCTGAAACTGATGGTGGAGGTACAGAAACTTCCAACATACTGTACATCCTGAGAGGGTCATAAAAACAACCTAGCACAGACGTAATTGTCTTGGCGGTAGAGTTATACTGGCATGGTGGGATTTTTGGTTAAATGTACATCCAATTATGAATTTTTACTAGGTTCCTTTTAATTATGAGATATTTTGCTGACAGAGACAGGTCAAGGGGTTGGAATGGGGCACCAGCGTTGCTGCCCTGGTAAGTGGTTGCATTATTGTGGGAACTTGTTGCTGACATATAGAGCATGGTGAGGGTGCAGAAAGTTTCTCAGGGATACAAAAAGCAAAGAATAAACTTTGAGCCGAGTACTTTAATTGCCTCCACAAACTTTCTTCAATGTAGACACCTTTTAACAGGTTTTGTTGGTTGTCACCCAGTGTGAAGGGGGACTATGTGACTGTCAATGAAAAAGTGACAGCAATGTAAAATTTTATAATATAGCGTTAGCATGAACCAGGATAAAAAAATATTTTGAGAGTGGAGTTGTTCACTTGAGCAGTTCGCAGCTGAGTGTGAAGTGGCTGGGATGAGGAGCAGCACCTCCATACCTGAGTCCATGGTCCTCAGTCGTAAAACGGTGGATTGCTCTCCAATTTGGGGGTGAGGTGCTGCCTCAGGTGGCAGAGTTGAAATATCTTAAGGTTTTGTTCACGAGTGAGGGAAGAGTGGAGCATGAGATTGACCGGTGGATACGTGCAGCTTCTGCAGTATTGTAGACTGTGCTGGTCCGTTGTGGTGAAGTGAGAACTGAGCCGTATGGAAAAGGTCTCTGTTTACTAGTCAGTCTACGTTCCTACCATCCACTATGGCCACAAACTGACCTAAAGAACAAGACCGCAGATATATGCGGTTGAAATGAGTTTCCTGTGCAGAGTAAATAGACTCTCCCTTACAGAAAGGGTGAGAAGTTCAATCATCTTGTAGAGGCTCGGTGCAGAGCTGCTGCTCCTCCACATTCAGAGGAGCCACTTGAGGTGGTTGGTAAGGATGTTCCCTAGGGAGGTGGAAGTGAATGAATGAATGAACATACGTATGTATGTATGTATGTATGGATGTATGGATGTATGGATGTATGGATGTATGGATGTATGTATGGATGGATGGATATATGGGTAGATATATGGGTGGGTGGATGTATGGATGGATCAATCTACTTTGGTCCTACTTGGACTAGGTGTTAACTTGGCTTCCTTGAAATAACGTTCTCTGATTTTTCAACCCACCTACCCATCCCCCACAAAATGATGCTCAAAGACGATTTCCATTTTGTACTCATAATAAATATTTCTGGGCAGCACGGTGGCGCAATTGGTAGAGCTGCTGCCTCTCAGCGAGCAGGTCCCCAATTCAAACCCCGGTCCAGGGGCCTTTCTGGGTGGAGTTTGCATGTTCTCTCCATGCATGCGTGGGTTTTCTCCGGGTTCTCTGGTTTCCTCCCACAGACCAAAAACATGCATGTTAGGCTGATTGGTAACTCTAAATTGTCCCTAGGTGTGAGTGATAGAGTGAATGGTTGTTTGTCTCGTTTTTCTCTATGTAGCCCTGTGATGGACTTGCGACCTGTCCAGGGTGTACCCCGCCCCTCGCACAGTGATTGCTGGACATGGGCACCGGCAACCCAAAATGGAAAAAGCGGGTAAAAGATAACGGATGGATGGATGGATAAACGGTTCTAATTCTTTTGCGTAGAAATATGGGTCCCAAATGCCAAATAAAGAGAAACAATGATATTTGTACCTTTCATAAGTCCAGGGCATCTCTTGCAGGTAGAGTTCAGAATGACTGACTTGATGAGTCCTGATTTGGTGAGGTTGAGAAGTCCCATCTTGTAGGCCCTGATCAGGGACACCTCAACTGTAGCTGATCCATTTGTACCACTGGTCACTGAAGTAACCCTTCCAGTAATAACTGAAAGTGTGACCAAATTGTTAGAAACAACATTCGTTTTTTAACATGTGGACAAATCAAGTTGTAGCTTACCAAACTCATGAGTGCAGAAGCTGGACTGGAGAGTCCCTGTCCTCTTACAGGGCTGTGTACACAGTGGGTTCAGCAAATAAGCTGCAGAAAATTCATAAGTCAACAAACATATTCAGATGAAAGTGTACGTAACTTTATTCTCAATCCAGGCACAAAGGGAAAAGATTCACAAATAGCTTAATTCAACTCACGTTTCTTAATGACAATGGGTTTCTTTGTCACTGTCTTGTTCGGTCCTGGTTTAGGTGTTGGTTTAGCTTTTATCTTGGGTTTAACCATTGGTTTAACTCCACTCCTTGGGGTTGGCTTCACTGGTTTGACTCTAGGTTTCATGGTGGGCTTGGGTTTCACAGCAGGTTTGCGTGTGGGTTTAGTCTTAGTGCTTGGTTTGGGTGTTGGTTTGGGTATGGGTGTTGGTTTAGCTTTGGGTTTCATGGTAGGTTTTCTCACAGGGAACTTAGGTGTAGATTTACTTGGTTTGGGTTTAGATGTGGGCTTGACTGCTGGCTTGGAGGTAGGTCTGAGAATGGGAGGTTTCTTTACCAGTGGAGCCCTCGATATTGGCTTCTTGGGAAGTTTGGGGGTTGGTTTTGGACGGAGCCCAGGTCTGAGTTTAACAGATGGTTTGAGAGTTGGTTTGATCAGTTTAGTGGTTGGTTTTAAAGACGGTTTGGCAGTTGCTTTTGGTGTTGGTTTCAAAGTTGGTTTAGGTGTTGGTTTTAAAGATGGCTTGGATGGCGGTTTAGGTGTTGGTTTGATGGGTTTCCTTGGCTCTACAGTTGGTTTCTGTGGCCTGGAGGCAGGCATGGGACTGTAGATGAAGTCACCTCCAGAAGTAGGTGTGCGGGATTCACGGGGCACACTGGTATAATGGGCCATGAATCCATCTGAGGTCACACTCAGATCAGACACAAACTGGACAAGAAGCTCGTTGCCATTCGTTACTATAGTTCTACACAGAGATGAGGGACATTAGAGTATTTAAACTATAATGTGTATTGAAATAGGAAAAACCATTTAGAATGTATTTGAACAAATTTGTTTGCCAGTATCTCACCCTGGGCGTCTATCACCACAGAATTTACCAATCCTCCTTGAGTCATCGTTCTCTCCACCGTTAAACAATGCCACATAGTCGTAGCGACAGTACGTATCTGACTCTAAATCCAACTTCTCAAACTTCACTTCAATCACCTGGAAATAAAAATGGAAACAGGAATTATGAATTTACGACTGGTAACGAAGTAGGTGCATGTTTACTTTGTCTACTTTTCATGAAGCGAGTACAGTGCTGCCACAAGGAGGAGGTGCTGACAGAGTTTTCACATAAAGAGGGGCATTTACTCGCTCTCTCTTGCTTCTGGTTCCTTCCTTGTTTTCTCAAGTTCAATCTCTTGGCCTGCATGAACACACCTGCAGGGACTCAATGAAGTCTTTCATTTGACCTTCAGCCAATCATGCTAACGTCACACGTTTTCTTACGTGCAAACACACATTCAAACTCAAATACATAGAGAACATTTCCTTCTAATAAGATTCTTTGCTTATTTATTTTTCCATTCCAAAATTAGTAAACTTTATTTTGTACATGTAACTGCACACGTTGTAACAAATGTAGAAATTCTCCAAACTAAATGTGCAAGAAATTAGAAATTATACTAAAACCTTGTCGTGTCAACTTTGTCAACCCTGTCATATCAAAAGACTGTATAAAATTAAGGAACACGTAAAGTAACTTTCTTCTATGGGAAACAATTTTGATCTCACAGTAAACAAGTTAGATCATATGTTTTTGTTAAAACTTGACAGTTTAAGTAAAACTAAAACAGTAAATACAGTAGTCCTTCATTTATTGCAGAGGATCCATACCCTGAAGCCCCACGATAAGTGAAAAACCGCAAAGTAGGAATAGTAGTACAAGTAGTAAGTAGCAGTTATATTAAGGCATTTAACCCCTCCCCACACTCTTGCAATATTCTAAACAATGTTTCTAAACTCTAAATACTCTAAAAGAGCATAGCATGTCATGATTTCAGCTCTCTGTCTCCTGCTGCACTCTGCCATCTGCCAGCACTCTCGGCCATGCCCACTTCTCCGCTGCAGAGCGGAGATCCTGACATGGTGCAGGTGGAAGCTTCTCCTGCAGCTGTGGGCTGCACACAGGTGCAGCAGGTCCTAAATAATTAAAAATAATTTATTTTAAATAAAAATCCCATGTCGATCGTGTGGCTCATCCATCAATCAGCCAGTTGCGTGTCAAGTCCAATCATATTTTGAAAAAACGCAATAGAGCAAGTCCACGAAAAACAAACCACAAAGTAGCGAGGGACTACTGTACATGAAAGCCAGCATGAGGTGAAATTTGCTCAGCTTACATTGCTTGGCTCCACAGAAATGTGCCAGGAGCAGCTGATTCCTGCTGGGTAATTTGAGTTTGGCCAGTTGGGCGTCTTGACAGAGCCCTGTTCTTTGGTCAGGCGGCCTCCACAGAACTGGGTCTCTGTTGAATTGAAAATAGGGTTGTGAGTCAAAGACAGTAGCCATTTCTTTATACCAAGGAGAATTATAGCCCTTACTAAGAACAACCAATCCATAAAATATCAATTGTTTATTCTGAATGGTCAAAGAAATGTCAGAACAGTAGGTAGTATTTTATAGCTACATGCCCAAACCTTCCATATGTGGCTTTCCTGCATGGAAGGCAGCCAGAAAGCCTCTTCCTCCAGTGGCGTCATCTGATACCAGCTCCAACATCATGGTGTTGGAGGTAGAGATGAGGGCGCCAGGTCTGAACGTCCCGCAGAAACGACCCAGTTTTTGAACCGAGCGTGAGTGGCCATTAAAGACGTCCAGGTAGTCGTAGCGACAGGTGGGGTCAGCTTCAATGTCGAAGAGGCGAAAAGAGAGCATGACCACATGACTCTCTGGAACCTGGCGGGTTAAAGTCGGGGTATGAAATTATGTTTAGCCCTCCTGCTACCCTTGGGTCAAAACGATCCAAGAGGCCTCAGTCTTGGGCCTGCTGGGTCATTTTGACCCAAGGGCAGTGGGAGGGTTCAAGTGCACATGTAGTGGATGTGAGATCTTTCTTGGTTTGTTTTTCAATGGTGCTGATGGAGGTTTGTCTTTCTTGTCTTGGTAATAACAAACCCATCCATCCATCCATCCATTTTCTTCCGCTTATCCGGGGTCGGGTCGCGGGGGTAGCAGCCTAAGTAGGGAGGCCCAGACTTCCCTCTCCCCAGCCACTTGGGCCAGCTCTTCCGGGGGAATCCCGAGGCGTTCCCAGGCCAGCCGAGAAACATAGTCCCTCCAGCGTACCTAGATACATAAATACATGCCTACACCTATAGATACATAAATGCATACCGGTACCTAT